AAAAACGTAATTTGCGTTGTGGCTACGCTTCCTTGCTTCTTCCGTTTCCTTTTGATTTTGGAGTATAAGAGCTCGAGCATTTTTCTCGGTAAGGTGTATCAGTTTTTTCTTAAATTGTGATTACATATTTGCATCAGTCAATTTAGAATTTGTGCAACTTGAAATGATTCTTCTGTGCATGATTATACTGGTAGAAGGCATGTTCCATCCTGTGTTATTATTCAACTATATAAAATTATAACACTAATCTACCCAGAATCAAGCCCTACTTATCTCTAGTTTCATATTGTGTTTATTTCGTTTTCGGCATCCTTATTTTAGTAAATGCTCATGGAGTTGATCTAGATTTCGAATCTTCAAGTATGTGTGTGGCACTACGTCAATTGCTTTTATTTTTATTACAAAAGCAATGTTATTACTGCCACTTAGTACTACGGTCTGGTAATATTCTTCTTCCTTGGAAGTGAGAGATCTTAGGTTCGAATCTCGTGGATGGTGAATTTGATACCAAATTAGGTTGCCTATTGTGTGGTTTTGCCGAACTTCCTCTTCCCCTAGTGTAAAAATAAACATAATATTGTATAAGCCCATTTCTAACCTCACATTTGATAGATTGTCCAAACAAACGTCTTGTTTCGTTACGATGAAAAGAAATCGAACCTCCATCTTTATTTAATCGTGACTCATTTTCCATGTTCCATCATCACTTGATCTTATTAGCTATACCAGTGACTTTCAGGGTTTCAATCTCAACGTTTGCACTTCAAAATAGTCGTCCGTTCTTCTGCTATTGTTCTCCAAATTAAAAATTGAATAACAAAAGTACATCATGACTATTTTGGATTACGAGTGATGGCTCCATCCAGGCTGAGACTTATTTATAACTGGAATCATATTAGGTATCGTAAGATCATGTCAATTTTAAAATAGTGTATGATGTACTTCTTTTAAAGTTTTTTTCTGCATTCGATATGTGAAATTTTAAATTATAATAAACGCCTTAAACCAATAAAAAGCATGGTCAACCAACAACCACTTATAATAAATATTTAAATCAATAATAAATTAATAAAAAACATTTAAAAATTATTAAAAAAATATTTAAAGCTATTGTCAAATTTGAGAGCTAGGGGATTTTTGCTAATGCATGTTATGCCACATAAGAATGGGCATTTGGGTTGGAAAACACGTGTGTTGTCTTATTTTATTTTATTGTTAATTTGAACTTTTTGACATCTCATTTGAAGATGTTCTAAGTCTTGTGTGCGTTACTTTAAGAATTTCATTTTTCTGCCTAAAAAGCTAGGAATTTTCCACAGAATTTTTAGGATCCAATAGGTATGTGTACTAATGGACCAAAATAACAAGTTATAATTGAGCAAACATCTGAATTTTGGAATATAAGGGCATGTGAATGTAAGGGTTTCTCCTTAGAACATGGGAATATTACTAGTGTACATGGCATCGCCATTTCATGATCATCATATTTAATGGAACTCTTAGAGCATCTCTAGAGATGTTAATTAGACGAAATAATATTTGGCTACTCAAAGATGAATAGGAACTCCTTCTTAAGAGTCATAGAGTTTTGTGTTTATGATTAGAACTCTTCATATTATGAATCATAATATGAAGATCTATGCAAAAAATAAATTAAAACTAAGATTTTTTTAGTCAATCTATTGTAGCAAATACATAGACGGTTCGTAATGCTTTTACCAATATTGTTCATTTGTTTTAAACAGTTTGATTACTAAACAATCTTAATTTTAATTGATTTTTTGCAGAGCCGATTTTTATAGGGTGATTTATAATATAAACGGTTTTGATTATAAAAACGAAGTTCTCTAAATAGATAACAAACAATTTTGAGAAATTTTGAGTAGAGATTCCTACTAATCTTTGAATACCCAAGTATTGTTCAATTAGACGGAAAAGACATCAATGGTTTCTCAAAAGGAGATGTCATAATTGAAATGACAGCTAGTTATTTGACTACTTGCTTTGTAGCGGTTTCTTTTTTTTTTTTTTTTTTTTTTCAACAAACAAAATGAAGTCAATTTATTATTTAATGTGTGGGGTCCATAATTCACCAATAGGTTTGGAACTTTTAACTATATTAAATTACTTTTTCTTAAAAACTATAGTTGTGGTGACCAATATATAATAAAATAGTAAGTTAACACACTCATTGGAATAAAAGAAATATGACATCACTTTCAACTTGCCATATCATCCTTCAAATTAAATTTTGACAATTCAAATTTGAGCCTTTTCGAAGGTGTCAAATATTGAACATCAAATTTCAATTTGGTGATCTACATGTTAAATTTACACTCCAACCAATGTGTCTAATTATTATTTTATATTTTAATATATTAATTTTTCAAATCATAGAAATGCCAAAAGAAAATATAAATAGCTACACTTATACGAATGAGGATCGTAGAGATCCTTAAATCGTGTCCATTCATCATACATTGTGAGATAAGCTTTCATTAGATACTGTTCATATTTAATTTTAAATAAAAGTAAATAATTTATGAACATATAATGTACGATAAACATACATGATTTGAGAATCCTTAAGTTCCTCACGAAGAGGATCCTCATCTCACTTATACCAACCATTCATTGCATGGCTAGTCCAAAAGTTTTTATAAAAAAAATAAAGCAATTAAAATAATCAAAGTTTCACCTATACATATAATCCTGACATATCTCTAATTAAAATAAAAATAATAAAAAACAAAAAAAAATTTCCCACTCCCACGTTCTCTATCACTCTCTTCCTCTCTCTTTCTATTTCAAAAAAATAAAATAAAATAAAATCTCACATTTTGTGTGTGCCCATATGCTAGTAATAATAATGATAATGATAATATTAATAATAATAGTAATAGTAATAATATTAATATTTTGCAAATTGCAAGGATACCCTTACATATTTTACAAAATTATAATATTTGCTCCTACATTATTGTCTTTAATAATTATTATCTCACATTAAATACCATATTATTTTTAGGCATTTAATATATTCATATCAATTTATATAAAAGCACAGCAATATTTACCAAACACTCAGACACTGTTTTTTTTTTTTTTTTTTTTTTGTTAAAAACACTTTTATAAAAAAAATGTTTACCAAATACTCAACAACTTTATTTTACAGCTGTTTATTCTCATAACACAGCATAAACATTTTTTTTTTTTTAAAACACAGTAATACCAAACTAGCCCTAAATGGAAAACTTTACAAAAGGGCTCCTGAAAATAACTTTGATGGTTCAGTTATGAACTCTGCAACTACAATTGGTTTTATAATTACGAACGAAGATGAAACTTCGACTGTGGTTTGAGCTCGTTGTCTGGGGGATAACACAATCTTCATTACTGAAGGTTTTGCCTTTACAGACGCTCTTTGGATGGCAAACGGAAGAAGCTTTGCGATGCAGTAATTTAGTTGAGTGAAGAAAGATATATCCTCAATTGTAGCATACAGCAAATAAAACATATCGTGAAGTTGAGTGAAGAGCAATTCAAGAGGCTTAAAACAAAAAAAATTCAGCCCTTGCATATTTGTGCTCCAACCTCTGATTTGGACCCGCAACACATTGTTTCAAGGAGAACAACATCGAGAGCTAAAATTTTGTTCTTGACGATGTTTGGAAATTTTTTATTTTGTGTTTTTCTAGAGTTTGAAGTAGGTTCTAAAAGAAAGTGCAACAACAAAAGTACGTAAGGAGAGATTGAGACATGCTCATTATCGTGTTACAACCGATATAAAAAGTTTTGAAGGTGCATAGGGTACATCTAAGTGTTCTTTTTTTTTTCTTTTTTTTTTTTTTTTTTTTGTTTGAACAAAAGGGTACATCTAAATGTTAGGTTGGGAGTAATCAAATAATTTGGTTACTATTGAAAACCAAAGGAGGGGGCCATGGATTGAGTAAACAATTAAACAAGCAACACAAAGGGAGACCAACCATGTGGTGCTTGTACAATGTCCTTTCTCCATTAACTTTCATTAGTAGTCGGATTATATAAAATTGTTATTCATGACTGAATTATAAATTAAATATTAATTAACGTATTTATTTTTTATTAGTAATTTATCACATAATATACAAATTTAATCTACAAATTGATAAGCACGCATTACTCAAAAAAACTAGCCTATGATACCATTCAATTGTGCTGACCATGACAGCCTGGCATGTAGGTGAGCTCATTACATTGCACCACTATTTTAAGTCACTCCGAGTTTAAAGGAGAGGTGAACCATTAATAAGGAGAGTGAGAGAGACCAATTTAATGAGAAGTTTTATCATTATGATTTATGTGACATCGCTATGTAGTTTTTTTTTTTGTTTTTTAAGTACATCGATATTTTTACAATAGAGAGAGAGAGAGTTTGGTTTAGTCATACAATGGGCAACCTAATTTGGTATCGAATTCGTAATCTACGAGATTTGAACCTAAGATCTCTTCACTTCTAAGTGAAGAGGAATACCATCAAACCGTAGTACTGAGTGATCGCTATATAGTATTATGTATCAAGTATACTCATATTAGCATATTTAATAGAGATGAAAGCTATTTTGGAATGGGCATTTTATATTCTTACTGTCTGAAAATTCTCTAAAAGCTAGTACGTAATTATCTTGGTCCAAAAATGCAAGTAAAAATACAAATCTACTCCTTTTTTTTTATTTGTTAGTATCTTTACATATTTGTATTAACTGTAATACTCATATTATAACACGTCAACTAATAACAACATGCGACGGTGTGATTATCACATTTAAAAATTTCTCTAATTTAAGGTCACCTCAAATGTGATTTGATATTATTTTTTTTCTTTGACACAGTACATCCTCATCTCCAAAGTACCTTCTCTCAGATTAAATGGGCCTACCCCAATTGCCTTCCTGGCTGAAATAGTCCCCCTAGAAGAAAAAAAAAAGAGGTAGAAAGAAAGCAGCAGCCAAAAAAGGGATTTAAGAAGGAAAAAGACCACACAAAAGAAAAGAAGATAGGTAGGAGGAGATGTTCATGATGATGGGCACCAGTACTACTACTACTCCTAGCCCAGAAAATATCAGAAATATTGAAACCACCACCTCCACTTTCCCAACCTGGAAACTTTACGAAAACCCTTCATATAATTCTCAAAAACTTCATCAAAATCCACTCCCACGACAACAAAACCAGCAGCAGCAGTGCCGAAACTTTAGCAACAAGCAACAAGAAGTCCACCACTGCCTGCACCTCCCCATCTCCGCCCGGAAGCTCGCCGCTTCCTTCTGGGATCTCACCTTCTTCAAGCCGGCAATGGAGTCCGAGATGGATTACACGCGAGCCCAGATCACCGAAATGAAAGCGAAGCTCAAATACGAGCGAAAAGCGCGCAAGAAGGTGGAGAGTTCAAACAAGATGCTGGCAAAAGAGTTGGGGGAGGAGAGAAGGTTGAGAGAAGCGATCGAGAGGGTTTGCGAGGAGCTTGCCAGAGAGATTTCTTTCGGGAAGTCGGAGATCATTAGGAATAGGAAAGAGATCGAGGAGGAGAGGAAAATGCTTCGAATGGTGGAGATGCTGAGAGAGGAGAGGCTTCAGATGAAGCTCACCGAGGCGAGGCTTCTGTTCGAAGAGAAGGTGTTAGAACTGGAGGGGTGTAAACAAATGTTAAGCGCCGCAGAGAACTCACATTTCAAGATCAAACACAAGAGTGAGTACGCTAATGTTGCTAGTTTTAATAATTCGAGTGAAAAGTCTGGTGCTTTTAGTGGTGATCGAAACAATGACTCTGTTTCCAGTTTTTCTACTGCAACTTCAAGGGAAGTGCTTTTGGGTGAGAAAGCAGCTTTTAGTGAAAACAGTGGAGGTTTTTCATCAATGGCGGTTCAGAAAAGATCCTCACCAGAACCAGAAAATCCTCACATAAAGAGAGGGATCAAAGGATTTGTTGAATTCCCAAGAGTTGTCAGAGCAATTGGATCAAAAAGTAGGCATTGGGGTACAAAGCTGGAATGCCAAAAAGCTCAGCTCAGAATTCTGATGAAGCAAAAGAGCCCCATTAGATCCAATAGTTTCACTATTAGTTGAAAGATCATAATGTGAAATGGAAAATCGACCAAAATAATCGTTTTTTTAAATTTTAATTGCTGGAAATGATTAGTTTCTCAGTATGTCTCAATATGTCGTCCATATCTATTCGTTTTGCCATCCATTTTTATGGTTATGTCATTGATCAATCCAGCAATTAAGATTTGATTTCTGATTACTTTAGTCGATTTCTCATGTTAATTTATTCTTGATTATCTTTTTCTTATGTGGATTGTTGAAAGAGTGGTATGATTTTGTGCTTATTGTACATTTTATTGTATGATGAAATTAATCAGAAAAAAAAAAAAAAAGGCTTGCTTTGGATCTGATCCAACTTCAAAAATTTTGTAGACTTTTATAGTAAATGTGTGATGCTTTTGACTTGTGAAGAACACATACACATGCTTCAATTTTAGTCCACTCAAGTGTGTGTTTGTACATTTTTGAGTTTTGAAGACACTTACACATGCACTGATATGTACAAGCTTCATTTTTTATTTCACTTGAGACGCTGCATTTTTAGTAAATGAATAATTATATGGTTTATAAAACAGATTATATGGAAAATTGAGCAGGCGGAGGAATGAGACCTCGTGGGGGTGGAGGTGGTTCTAAGGAAGAAAACGAGGAAAGTTGTGAAATCATGTTTCCGAATTTCACTGTTATAATCTACGTATTTGTAGTATTGAGATTTTATATTATTTTTTGAGAATTTATATTAGTTTATTTGAAATTAGATTTCAATTAAACTAGTTACGAAGAGTGAAGTTTGGAAAATTATTATTTACTCGTTGACCTTTTGAAGTCACAAGTAACGTTTTCGAATAGGTCTCGAAGCCACGAGTGCATAAGCAAAAGCTGTTGGCGAGTTCGAATTATAACGGTATAGTTACGGACATTTGAAGTTGTGAAACTATAGATTGTGGGAATTATTTTAATTTCCACTTAGGGGTAAAAAGGCCCAAACACTTTTTGGGATGAAGGGACAGGCCATTATAAGTGGAAATGGGCAAAAATTAGATGGGGGAATTTGTTTCCATTCGGCTAACTAGGCACCATAACACCACATCTTCAGCCGATCCAAACTCAGCCATCTTCCACCATATTTTCAGGTAATCTTCAACCATCCCACACCTGCCACATCTTCCATCAGCTTCCATCTTCCATCTCCACCAAAAATCAAGGGTTTTAAGGCCTAATTCGGATAGAACTCCATAGGAGAAACTGGGGGTTCTCGACGATGAATTGTTGTTTCGGAGAGCATCACCATTCATCATCACCCTTAATCAACTTCCCTTGGACCCAGGAACTTGACCCAATAGGTTGTAAGGGCATTGGAACATCGAGGAAATCGAATTGAAGAACATCCACCTTAGGGTTTTCGGCGGTTCGTGGCCAGTTTGAGGTGTTTTCCGGCCAAATTGGCCTTGGGCGTAGGTATAAAGTTTACTCTACTTGTTGAGATCTTCATTCTTGTAAAATTTAAGAATTTTTGGAAAAAGTCGAATTTTTCGATATGTAACATTTGATTTAAGAAATGTTGTTGGTTGAATATATTTTCGATAAGGTCTGCCACTTGAATATTCTAACAATTGACAATCTTACCATTGAGTTGACACCAAATTTTAGTATGCTATTGTAGATATGGTTTACGGACCTTAGGGAATTACTAGTGAAAATCTAGTGGGCCTATATTGGTTAGATAGTGACTTGAATATATGAAATATGATTATTATCTTAAATTTTTATATTAGTATCATTTGTGAATATGAATTGGTCTTATAATTATGATTTCTATTGAAATGTGAATTTTATATATTTAGCCATAGACCTATGCTAATTAACTATGATTTGGCTTGTGTATTGTTGATGTTTGTGATATATATGTGTTTAATTAACATTTTAATAATGTGAATGATAATTATGATGAATGTTATGATAATTATGGGATCTAAATATTGTTTGATAATTATTTGGATATGCTTGCCAACTGAATACCTATTTGAACTTGGCACTATTACCTAACATGAGATGGAGATGGAAGTCGGGAGATGAGTTAGGTACTTTATTAGATTTTTAGTAGAAATAGTAATTAAGGGAATTCTTTGTGTTGTGCTCCATCTGACTAGATGCTAGTCGATATGTGGAATTGATAGCACGTATGCGTATAATTATGTTTAATGTGTGATGATGAGATTGCACCACATAGTTATGGTACATGGATGGTCATACTTGGTATATCCGTGATGGGGGGACCATATGTATTCAGAGGTGATCATGCTTGGTATATCCACGATGGGTGATCACTGCCTGCACGATGAGTTTATGCCTATGGTTCTACTCGGTATATCCGCGATGGGGGACCATACGCATTCTAGAGGCGATGATGATTAGTTGTACATGGTACATTTTGGGCTCATATTTGGTTTGGTTCCGTTGAGTGGTTCGGAACCTGAGGTTGTTGAATTTCGTGGAGTGGCCTAAAATCCCATTGTTTGGAGAAGTAGGCTTGGCTTAACTATGTCACTCTAGCCTTAGTTATATATATATTTGTGTCAATGGTTTCTAGAGTCTTGTGAATTGAGTTAGAAAAGATGTTGGACGTCTGAGTGACTCCTTCAGGATTTTCTATGATTCGATTATGATTTCATAAGGTATAAATTTAGAAGATATGAGAATGATTGTTATTACTTTGATCAAATTAATTAATTAATGCGGCTATATGATGGTTTTGTGTTTAGTCGGCTCTTAAATATGATGTGTGTTGTGAATTGCGATATCATGATGAAACATAATGATTTATATGTTGGATGTGAGAGAAATCATGTTTTCATGGAGATTGGTTATGTAGCCTGAGTCCAAGAATTATATGTTGTCAGGTTATATTGAATGATTGAGCAATACTAAGCTTTTTTGCTTGAACTTAGTGGAATAAACGTCTAATTTTGTGATAGTGAACTACGAATGGCTTGATCCCTATTGAGGGTACGTAGGCAGTCTAACGAGGAGGTTAGATGCAGCCATAAGGTAAATGAAAAATTTCTTTGCAATTTGATTCTCGAATTGTGATTTGCCATATTCCTGAGACGGTGAGTGGAATAAACGTCTGATTTTGTGATAGTGAACTACGAATGGCTTGATCTCTATTAAGGGTACGTAGACAGTCTAACGAGGAGGTTAGATGCAGCCATAAGGTAAACGAAAAATTTCTTTGCAATTTGATTCTCGAATTGTGATTTGCCATATTCCTGAGACGGGGTATGTGAGATATACAAGTAATTGGGTGACGTCACGTGTCGATCCTGGACGTATGTTGGGATTGGAGTGTGACAAAAGCTAATGCGACGAAATGGGTGGAGATGGAAGATGCGGCCATAGATAAAGTGGGTTGGAGCTGAATCTGGGTGGGGATTGAGCAATGGGGTTTCTAGGGCTTGGGATGATGCTCATTTGCAATTAAAGGTGAATTTCTTTGGTTTTTTTAGGGTTTGGAAGTGGAAGAAAGCAGAGGAGGAGGGTAAAAAATATGAAGGGTCCGCAGCGACGACGAGTACTGAGAGGTGGACGACAGCGGAGGCTTGCTGATGAATCTCAAGTCATTGTGCTTAAAGATGGGTTCTGGAGGTTCGTGACGGCGAAGAAGAAGGAATTGGAGGCTCTGAGGTCGCAGATGCCTCTGGCTTTGGGTGATTGTGTCGATCTGGCAAAGTTCGTGATGGAGGTGATATCGGAGGTTTTCTGGTGGACGATAGAGTAGAGAGGAGTGATATGGGGTATTAAAAGGAAAGGGGTTGCAGAGGAAAGAATGAGAGGGAGGGGGTTGGGGGGAGGTAAAAGACGATGTATGTGTTTTTATTTTTTTTAGATTTTTAAATTTCACGTGCGCTTTAATGACACGTGGCCTCCAGTTATTATCCACATGGACACTACGTCATCGATTAACGGCAGAGTTAACAGCTTGACTAACGGATGTATGAGACTGTCCCAAAATTTACACTTTAGGTATGATTCTGAGACAAAAAAAATTTGATTTACTAAATGTTGAAAACCATGAAACATGAAGATAGTAAACAGATATTTACCCAAAGAAATACTATAATTAATAACAGTAAGATTTAACCCCTAACTAAACTGAAAGTTAACATATATATATATATATATATATATTTTTTTTTTTTTTTTGAAATTAAATTTTAAAAAATTGATGACCCTTGGATTGGCTGAGATTTAATCTCAGCAGTCCAATGATTTTCTCTGCCCTAAATCAAACTTTCTCTCATTCTCAAAGGCTCAAATCAAAGCAATTGCTATTTCTCTATCTCTCTCTCTCTCTCTTTCTCTCGCTGAACTCTCGAAATTCAGTCTCGAACCTCAACTATGGCCAACCATGAGTCCACAACCACCCTTTCCAGTCTCCCTTCACCACACCATTGTCACCACATATGACCTAGTAACCCATCACCAGTCGATTTGCTAGTTTTGTCTCCGATTCTCTCTCTGGATCGACCGAATCTCGAGTCTTAATTGAAGTAATTGTTGATTCTTTCAAATTATTTTCAAAACATAGGGTTTTACTTCGAAATAATTTTCGAATTAAGATCGGTTTCGTTTTTTCAATTTGGGGTTTGTGAAAATTGGAGTTTTTTTTGTTTTAAATGAGTTTTCGAAGTAATATTATATGACAATGTTGTATGTCTAGATTTAGAAGAAAAAAAAAATATCTTAATAGGTCATAACGAGTTAAGTCATTTTACATGTTAGGTAAAATAATCCGACCTGTTAATAACCTATTAAAATAACATGTGTTACATAAAAGTAACACGAACATAACAAACATAACTCGTTTGCTAGATCTAGATATACATGTTGTTTGCAAGTACTGGCCTCTATTTATTACCATATTGAAGTCCAATCTCACTCGTTGGTACCTATAATCTCCTGCTTTTGGAAACTTAACACTGTTTGATTAGACGTGAAGTAAACGTTATGTGCCACATAGAGATCGAGAGAGAGAGAGGGGGCCTTGTTGCCAGCTGCTTTTACGAGTTTTGTCCTTATTTATAAGAGGAAGTTATGTTGGAAGCTTGGGTAGCAAAGCGCAACGCATGGCTAAAATGGCGGCACCACCATACTCTAGCAAAACCCCCCACCACACCACCACACTCACACACAGTAGAGAGAGAGCTAGCGTGGGTTGTATTTAAGGCTATTTTGTGTGTGAGAGAGAGAGAGGGAGAGAGAGCTAGCGTGGGTTGTATTTAATGCTATTTTCCTTTTGGGGTTTTGTGCGTTTGGACATTGAGGAGGAAGGCAGTGAGAGAAAAGCTGTTTATTTAAAAAAAAAAATTTCAATTTCTGAATTTGATTTCATATCATGGGACAAAGAAATGGGTTTGCTGAGAAGGGAGCAGCAGCAGAAACAGAGTGGCTGGGTTTGATGATGCAAAAATCCCAGCAAACCCAACAAACCCAGCAATCATTTCCTCGGAAGAAAACGATGATGGTGATGCATCACCATCATCATCATCATGATCCTCTGCTTGCCAGTGCAGGAAGAGAAGCTTGTGGGGTTTGGGATAACAGTCCTGCTTCTGGTGGTGGACTTTTGTTTTGCAACACGAGCAATCCAGTCTCGAGTTGTCCGACTGATTTATATCCTGTCGGTTCTGATTTTGTCCTCCCAAACTCTCTGCAGCACCATCTACCTTGCTCTGATCACAGCCTGGCTTTCAGTTCCACAGGTAGAGTTCCCACCTTTTTCTCTTCACGAAAACAACAAAGATTCCAACTTTAACGAACAGTTTAGTAATTTTCTGGTTTATTTTTTATTTTTTATTTTTTCCTGTTGGGTTTTATAAATTTTGAATTTGAATAGGTGGAATGGTGAATGCGAATGTGAGAGTTCCTTTTACATCAGCTCAAAGGGAAGAGCTTGAGAGACAGACAATGATTTACAAGTACATGGACTCTTCCCCTGCCCCTCCCCAATTACTTTTACCAATTTCCAAGTTCCCAAATTGTAAATATTTCTGCTTTTTTTGTTCATCTTTTTAAATCTTTCTACAATACACTGCAGTATTGCTTACTTCGGCACTTACAGCCGTTACATTCAACCCGTAGGTTGGATCTAACGGCTCTAAGTTCCCGAGAGCTCCGATATATTGTAGACAGACCCCCATCGTTTGGTCATTTTAATTCCTTGTCTTAAAAAAACTTCCTTTGTTGTTTGGTTTTTTGTTTAGTGGTGAAAGGTTCACTGGAGTTGGGGATTTCTGGGAGCTCAGATCCGGAGCCATGGAGGTGCAAAAGAACAGATGGAAAAAAATGGAGGTGTTCCCGAGATGTAGCTTTTGATCAGAAGTATTGTGAGAGACATGCTCACAAGACCAGGAACCGTTCAAGAAAGCCTGTGGATTCCCAAACCCTAAACCCCAACCTCCTCACCACCAACAACAACAACATGAGAAGTCCTAGGTCGAATTTTTTCAGACAAAACAGCATCAGCAGCCAGACAACTCCATTTTCCTGCAACGTGGTTCCTAGTACTGCTGCTGGTGGATCACATGTCCAACCCAGGTGGGTTTGGTTTTGGGTTAGGTTAGGTTTGGGTTCAATTTTGAATGCTCTGAAACATAGGACCCAAACCCATCAAGTTCTGTTGCTTTGTTCTTAATTATTGCCTCTGAATGTGCCAATTAGAGAAAATTACCTATAACAGAATGTCAATATAGCAGTATGTCAAGCCAATCAGTCACTGCAATGTGTTTTTAACGTTTTCACTTGGCGTAACATAACTGGCTTGTGATACAGTCACAGTAGCATCTCATGTTAGGGAAGATGGTTCTAAAGAAACTTACAACAGGAGGCCATTGTAGCGGTGCAATGTGTTTTAACTTTTGCAAGTGACCCTTTGCCACAGTGATAGAAAGGTGTTGAGTCATTGCATGACGGCGGGGGTTCGAACTTTGGCTAATCTAACATCTAACAAAATCTATCATTTGACAACAAAAAGAAAAAGATTTTATTTTTTTACTTGGCATTGCAAGAATGAATTGTGATATTGTAATAATGGCATCCCGTTGCATAAGTTCTCATGTGATTTGGTTCTTTCATGGATGTTTCCATTGTTTTGTGTAATAAATGTTGTTTTTTGTCCTTGACCATGGAAGGTCCTCGGCATGGTTCATGAATGGGGAAGCCCCAGCTGTGGGTGGTTCAAACCAAGAGTGGGAACAAATGATGCCATTCAAGTTGAGCCTAAAGAGGAGCAGCAGCAGCTGCCCCTACACCAAGCCTACTAACACAGATGTGGATATTCCGAAGCAGCAAACTGAAAGCTCACTAAATTTGCACACAGATTGCACGGGTGGAATCCAAGGCCTGCAAACTCAACAGACAAGGCATTTCATCGATGCATGGTCCAAGTCAGCATCAGCAGAGAGAGAAAAAGATAGGGTCTTTGTTTCTTCAAACCAGAAGCTTCCCCTTTCATCTCTCACTCTATCAATGCGTGGTGGGAAAGGAAGCAATGAAGGGAGAGAGAGTACCCAAATGGGGCTTGGAGTTTTGGGGGCAGAGAGGGAAAGTGTTGGGGATTTGAAGTCTCAGTGGACGAACCCAATGTCTTGGATGATGGGGTCACCACCTGGTGGACCATTGGCTGAAGCTTTGTGCCTTGGCATTGCTGGTGGTTCTAATGGCAGCGACAGTGGCTCCACCAGCTATAGGAGCTCACGTGGAGATGGTAGGCAAGAATATGATTTGATTAACTAAATGTTTGATTTGAGGAGGGGCAGTGGTGGTTTGTTTTCACCTAAATATTTGAAGTTTTAGCTTTTGTGTCTTTGACTTTTGAAGTAGATCAAGAATGGGGAAAATAATTGCTGTTTTAGTTGATTTTGTTGCATGCATAATACGCCATTATGTTCCAGATTTTAGAACCACCAAAAAAGAAAATTTTGAATTGTTAAGTTAAATTACTTGCAAGTGTACAAGCGAATATGTAAGAATGAGACCGTACTAATTAAATTTCACTCAATCTAGGATTTCAAGATCGAGGGATTTCAACATAAAAGTTAAAAAAATAAATATTAGACTAATTTGGTTCCACATTACTATTTTCTATTGAATTTGGTTCATTTAATAAATTAAGATTAATCTTAAAGATAATAAAATCAACAAATTTTTCTCAGCAACATAACCCAATTAGTGACTCTACAAAGATAAAATTTGTTATTGTAACATATATATTATTAATTGGGAGTTGGGACTAGAGTTTAGGATTAAAAAACTTAAATGAATTTGGAAGAAATAAAATTAGGCAACTAAAGGCCGTAGAACAACAAATTGTGGTGGGGAATAGGGTAACTTGGGTTTAAAGTTGGAAGGTTGCGACCATTGAGGCTACGAGTTCTTAAATATAATTTGGAGATACTAGAAAAGACCGAAGTTATCGGGCTTTGTAGAGAAAACAGAAATATTTTAGTTTTTAAAATTTTTATGATAACTTGCCTTAAAAACGTTGCCGTTTTGGCTAGGCCTTTTTAAACAAAATTTAAAAACTTTTTCTTCTTATTTGTTATAAGCACTGCTGCCTCCACATCTATGTGGAGGCAACAAGGCACTCCACTACACCTGCCTAAATTGTTGGAGGGTCCCGAAAATCGATCACAAGTGTTTTTTCAGGCTTCCGAAGGTTCCGGGACACCCTCCCCCCCCCCCCCCCTGGCGGGTCCCTATATGGATCCGCTGGCAATTTGTTCAACCTGATCTCATACCCTGCTCAGATGTACGAGATAATGGCAACACCCATGATGCAGATTGCCGAAGCCCTAAACCTCATATTCTACCAAACTTATTCAGCCTTGAAAAACACTTGGTGCTGAAGAATTACCCAAACTAAACAAGCTAACTCATTGCAAACCAAGCGCAATTCGGAAAAATTAAGTATTGAACTTACACGGTTTGTCTCGAAATAGGTTATATCCACGAACGATGATGATGATGATCCGATATCGATTACAACAATAACTATCTGCTTCTTGCTCACACAATTGAACTCAACTTACAAATTCTCAGAATCTTCCAAAACTTGTGACTCTTTAAAACTAGGGAGAAAAAGAGACGAAAGAACTATGTATAAAGAACGTTGTTAGGGAAATTAGATGGATGAGAGGCCAGCCTCTCTGCCTACCTGCATCTACGTGCTGTGTTGGCCTTGGCCAGCTTTGATAAGCACTATTTCGTACACCGCAACATGATTGAATACTCAATTCAAATCTCCCACATTTTCTCTTCCTGAACCCAAAATTCCAAGATCCATTCGGGTATTTTTCCCTTTATTAATTGGTTTCTATCCCATAGAAGAGTAAGGGATTGCATCCTACATCGATCGTCTAAGTAATAATACTGATGTGGGATAAAAAAATTATGTGGTGCTTTAAGGTATCGAATATTCTTGACTTTTAAATTTTTTCGTCAAAATAAAAAATCAGTCTAAACAGTTAAAAAGTTTAGAATATTCGACACTTTGATTACTAGAACATTAGAAAACAGAGAAAAAATCTCATTTTTTTTTACCCCAGAAAAATGAAAACAGAAAAAAAACTCTGCTCCAACAAACTAATCACAAAGTTTTCATTCCCAGTTCCAAATGAAATAACAAATGAAAGGTGATGCTTCTACACTTTTCTTTTTAACTCCTATACACACCAGATTAATTTTTGTCATTTGATTTTCTTCAATTCATTTGATCCAAGGGCTGAAAATTGAGAAGAGTGTGTGGAAGGTAAAAAAAGGTGTGTGAACCCCCAATGAAAAACTAGTTTCACTTTCATAATCACTTACCTCATTTTAATTCTCGTAGATCATCTCCAATGCAAGGACTCAAATCTTATATTTGAGTCCAAATGTAAGGTAAACATCTCCCATGCACATGAAAATTAAAATTCATATTTGGGGTTTGAGTCAAAGTGAGATCCAAAATTGAGTTCCAATATGAGATTTTGAGTCTAAGGTAAAAATACCGATGTCAACTAGAAAAAATGTTGTTCAACGAAGAAAAATGACATATGAATTTTGAGTCTAGTGTTTTCTTCTCCAAAGTAAAAACCCGTATCTTTAAGACTCAATTGGAGAAGAAAACCAAAATACATAAATTCACCACTTATTTGGGACCCAAATTGAAAATTTGGGTTTAAAATTTGAGTCTTTGCATTGAAAATGCTCTCAGATCAGTGGTTGAACATGGAGAAATATCTCCCCCTATGCTATCGGTGTACGACGGCGAGTTCTCCCTCCCATGGTAGCCATTATTTTGTACACTCTTGAAGCTAGGACTTCTCAAGTTATGGCTAAAGCTACTATAACCAATGCCAACACAATTATGTGGTTGTGGCTCAGCCGGGACAGGGTACGAAAGGCGTTTCTTGGCTGAACCGCCGCCTCTTTCTCTCTCGGGTGTCGAAGGCCTTGTTCTAGGTGCACTAAGAGATTGAGCCTTGGCTTTTGCGGATTCAGTAGCAGCCATGTAATTTGGTGTTCCAGAACGGCACATTGCACCCTTGAAGCCGCAATAAGCATTGAAGCCTGATAGGCTTGGTGTGTGTGCAGCTGATGAGCAATCGTATTTTTCCTCTTTTGGGCATCTTGGACTCGCCGACCGCACTTTCAGAGTTTTTGGTTTTGAAGGAGAGGGTGTTGCGGGCGAGAGATGATCCATGTTCTGTGATGTGTGTAGGGGTGAAGCTGAAGCAATGGCGTAGGAGGCTGGTTGTTTTTGATGTTGCGAATGCGAAATTCGAACACTTGGAGACGTGTACAAGGAAGGCCTGGAATTCGTGTCGATTTCAACTGTTTTTATGGAGTCCCTTTTGTCAATTGAAGCTCGGCTGCTGTTTTCGAATTGCTTTGTGGCCATCCATCTTTCCAGCCATCTTGTTCTCTCTTCTATCTCTGCATCACCCCCTGCAGACAGGTTCCTCCCAGGCCTCCATATCTTCAATTAGGCATCAAAGTATTAAAGACAATAGCTTGTTTGACAGAAACTTATATTCACATGACGGTATCCTAAACCAATCACTAACTTTTTGACATGGCATTGTACGATGAGATTGGGATACCGCCATTGTGCCATCTAGATTCACGAAATATTTCTTCTAAAATAAGCACAAAAGTATTAAAAGAACCATATATTAGAGAGTGAGGGAAAACTTTATCAACCTGATGAGAGAAAGCATAAGCAAGAGCCTTTTCGCGCTTTAAAGCAGCTTCCTTTCGACTCTGCAGTATGGGTTCAAGCCCATCGTCCCAATAGTCCTCACCACTAAGAATTTTCTCTCTAGACTGTTTGATGCAGCGGAATATAAGAACGAGGAATTAGACAAGCATCTAAAGCCAAGAAAAGAACACCAGGAAACTACTAACTTTAACTGAGAAAACCCTCAAGTTTTAGTTCATGACTTCATATCAAGCATAAGTACGAAAATAAGAAGCATAAATGCGAAAGCCACTTACTACGATGAATAAATTCATGTTATCTATTATTATGCTAGAAAGTGAAGAAATAGCAGCAGCTGCTTACTATTGACTTTCTGTCACGAATATCCTGAATTCTGGATTCCCACAAGTGAAGGCCTGTTTCAGCAAACATGGAGTTTCGACCAGCATCATGCGAAAGCCTTGATCTCTCGTTGTGAACCTGATCTTGTACTCGAACCAGAGCTTGCATGCATTTCAATGCCAGCTTTGCTCGCTTCCGAACGTTATGACCTCTCACTAAAGCTTGAAGCTTTACCAGGCCCTTAAGTGCAAGTAGAGCTCTCCTTGCCTTCAGTCAAAAACCACATTTGCATTTGCAATATGTCAAAAAAATTCAAAATAACAACCGTAGCGCTTTTGCAATATGTGCACATTTGCATTATCATATATGTAAGTAATTGAATTTATTGTGCTCTATTTTTGTGTTTTAGGACTGGTTTGGGACTGGTTTGATAGAAGTCACTTTTGTTCATAGCGCTTTTGCTAGATGTCCTATGTTGAAATTTTTATTGAAAAGCCAAATGCGTCTTAAAAATTACTTGGGAGTTCATCCCGAAGAAACAGTTTTTAACTTTTTCTACTCAACACAGTCAAAAGTTAGTTACCAAGTAACCTCTGAATGCTGTTTGAATGAGTGTAGCAGCATAGTGTTCTCTAGCGAAGTTATTCGGTCTAGTGAGCCGAACATTTTCTTCTGCCGCTTGGGCAGTAGCCACTGCTGCTTCGGCTGCAGCCGCAGTTGCTGCGGCCACAGCAATTGCGTGCCTCTGCTCAGCGTCCAAAACAGGATTCACAGGTGCGGTTGCACCTACAGTCACTGTCCTTGCTTCACATTGTTGAACATGAACAGTTGGCTTCCGGAAAAGCCACCTTCTCTTCTCTCTCTTCTGCGTCCATATATAAACCAAACAATGAGCATTGAAACATATACAAAGCGATAGAGATTAAAATAGTTTAGAATATCGTCTCGACAGAAAATCAATTTTTAATTTTGTTACCTTTTCTTCTTCTTCTGGTTCATGCTCATCTCTTCTTCTGCTGCCTTTTTGCTGATCATAATCTTTAGTGGGAGACCTGAATGCCCTTTTCACTATAGTCAGCCATGAAGTCCCACTTTTTTTCCCCATTTGAGTGTTTGAGCAAAGCTTTGCTGCATTACATGAAATTTAGCCGAATAGGGCAAGAGAAGAAGGTGAAGTTGGTAGAGAGAGAGAGAGAGAGAGAGAGAGAGAGAGAGAGAGCGAGCTTGAGGGTTGTTTGGTTACATGCAATGCAGGAATCAAAGTACGAGCTCTCAGGTCTCCAATATATTGTAAAAACAATGGTGTTTTTTTGTGGCATGCGAAACATTATAAAAC